GGAATTACTGTTAAAGCCAGGGGAGCCTGGTCATCTAATCTAAATTGTGTATGATCCAGGCCAGCAGTTCTCATTATGAGCTTATCACATCTGATTGATTTACAGCATCTGCTTTAAATCCAACCTTACTTTATTGATTTTTAAACTGTGGCTCATCCAAGGCTCTCTGAAAAACCTGTAGCTGAGCCAAACAAAGGTCCCATACAGCTAACCTTAATCTCCCATCTGTTCCTAAACCCTAAAACATCCCCTGCCATCAACCCTACCTCCTTATTCTCTAGGAAAAAATATACTTTTCCTAATACAAACGTGAGAGTTGACCAAAATGGATCTGAATCAGCAAGGAGAGAGGCAGAGACAATTCAGAGAAGCAAGGAAGGCAGAGAAGGACCTTGATCTGTCCCACACTGCAGCTTTCTGAGCAAGGTTTTAGCAAGCCTGAGCCAGTAAAGATCCTGTGTGAGCTCCAGACCCTCCAGCCATTTTAAGGTTATGTTCCCTGTACTGCAAATCTAATGGGAAGCAGAACAAAGCAACACTTCTCCTTCAGGAAAGCAAATAAGGCCTAAAAAGCTCAATTCCCCTATTAAGAAGCCATGGCAAAACATCTGCATGCCTGGGACATGAAGGATGTCATGGACCAGTCTCCCCTTCGCTGTGCTCCCCAGCTAAGGCAAACACAAGGGCAATACACTCCATGGACCTCAACAGGGAGATGGATAGTTAATGCTAGACAAGTCCTTCCCCCAGGGTCCTCTGTGAAAAGCACTGGAAGGAGGCCAAGGGAGGACAGAGACACTTCCAGGCAGAAAGGACTTGGCTGAGCCACAGGGAGCAGCTCCCAGCTCTGAGGAGGGCAGCTCCCTCCCTGCCTCTTGGCCCCCTGATTCCTGCACGGTTTGCTCTGAGTGCCACAGCTCCTCTCCCACATTGTCATGACTCTGAGAGCAAACTCCTCCCAGCTGTGCACAGACAGTGTACACGGACCTTGACTCTGTTTGCAAGACTGGGCAGCCCCATCTTCTCTCTCAGCCAACAAAGCAACTTTGCCCAAAATCGTCCCTCTGCTCCTTTGTTCCAGTTCCAGTGGTAATTACTGTTTTGATGTAAGGGGTGTTTTTTGTCATCATGCTTTTAATATTCAGGCTTTATTTTATAATCATTGGGGGGTTTTCTTTTTAATAGTGCAAGTGAATTGCAGTAAACATACTACATCACACTCATATTTTTAATGTGATGTCATTTTCCTGACTGTGTTTGATGCAGCATTTTAGAGCAAAGCCTAAAAGGATAAGTAATTTCTAACTCACAGTAAGAGAGAGAACAAAATCCCTTGAGGAGCTGAGTTTCTGAGCATGCTTTCCTCTAAAACCATCTGCTAGTGCTCTCCTGCTCTCTCCCACTCCTGCAATGGGAGATGCAGCTATTGATGGTTAGTGACTCAAAGTGACAAGACAGAGGGATGCAGACTCTCACACCAACTTCAGTCCCTTCCTAATGCTATGTCCAGTCAGGGCTGTGGCCAAAGGCAGGCTGGGTGAAATTCCCCAACTGGTAAAGGAGGTGATCTGAACAACAGCTTGTCCACTTTTTCTGTGAGGAGAGAGGCACATCACTTCTGAAAACTCATCTGCAGGCTCTCCCAGCAGGAGCAGGGCTGGGACCTTAAGGGCTCCAGAGCTTAGGAAAACTGCTGAATGCACTGTAGGGCCAGAGAACCATTGCAGAGCTCTCAGTGCTCTGGGAAAAACACTCATATGCCAGAGGGAAAAATGTGGCACTCCCTCGGGCTTGCCTCCTCATTCAGATGCCCAAGGTTTGACTCAGTTTTGCTGCTGCCTCATTGTCCCTGCCAGCAGCAGCATCAGGTTAGACCATGAATGCCCTGGCAGAAAAACACCTTCTGAGACAGCCCTGAGGTGAGAGCTGCTGGGAGGGCAGACCAGGTGAGTCACTCACTGAGTCACTCACAGGTAGAATATTTTGATGGATAAAACCAAGTAATTTCCTTCAAAGTGAAATGCCAGCTACACATCACCCAGGCTGCCTTCACTGTGGAGAACATCAGCTGAGGTGTTGGAATTCTGTACAACCAGAGACAAGCAGTTCATCATTCTCCCAACTTTCATGACAGGCCAGCAAGCTACCATCCCATCAGCCAGGGCTGTGGTATCAAGATCTAAGTGAAAGAAGCAAGGTATATTTCCTCATAATCCTTTGCTCCAGTCAGTCTAGTCTCTATGAGACTGTAATTCTTCCTGAAAGTCGTCACCCCAGACTGGGTGTGCAGAGAGAGGCACTCCACCCTCCAGTCTTTCTGACAGGAATAAAGTCCTCTCCCCAGCACAGCCTGTCCCAAGACTCCTGTCTGCCACTGCCCCCTTCCAGCACTTACACTTCTGCTCTCAGGATGCATGGGAAGCACACTACCAGCATGGTGATGGGCAAAGAGCATCCAAGCTGTCCTCCTCTCTTCAAGAGACTGGGTAAATCCCAACTCCCCAGCGAGACCAGGCCCCTGTGGAAGCACAGAGTAGGAGGCACCTGGGGCTTTGTGAAGACAGCATGGCCAGGCAGACACTGGGGCCAAACACCACAACACTTACCATGAATGCAGTGAGAACCTGAGTTCCTTTGGTACCACATGGTATCAGCTGTGCTCACACACAGGCTTAGACATGACTCGATATGGCTGTGGTACTGAGCCACTGCCCACACGGTGAACAGCCAACTCACAGCACATCTCCTTTTGCCAGTTTAGAGAGACACAGAGCAGTTAAATCCCAAATTCTGAGGTCAAGCTTTTCCTGAGTAACATCAGCAAACCTTCTTATCAGTAACATCCGCAAATATTCTTATCACCAGAGGTCTCTGGCTCAGTATTGTCCTGCAGTGGCCACCACAGCAGCCTTTAACTCCTCAGATCTCACAGGCACTCACAGCACAAGCCAGATAGCAGCAGACCTTGTCCTGCAATAGTCCATGCTGCACCTGCAAACAGCATTTTTGCTGGTACCACACTGGGGGTTGTCAGGCAGGTGTTTCTACTGCACAGCTGAGCCCTATGGGGCTAAAGACAGAACCACAATGCTCTGCTCAAACAGCAGGGCTGTCATGTGTTCCCATCCTCTTTCCACTTTAGCTGAATGATGGGGGAGGAAAAAGGGGGAGCAAATTACTTTGCTAGCCCTGACAGTGAGGGAGTAATTTTCCAAGCTAGAGCCAAGCAGAAGAGGGAAGAAGTGACAGAGAGCTTGGCTCTGCCCACCTCCAACTCAGAAAGAAAAGCTCTGCTGATCAAATGCTGTGCCTTTCAGAGGGTGCTAAGCAGCACTGAGCACTCACTCTGGGAGGTAATAAGTCCCAGCTGGTAGTCTGGATCTGAATCTATTCACCTTTTCAGCATTTGCAGTTCATGCATGAGAAGTGGCACTGTACTGTACCAAACCAAGGACACAGAGCCGAGGGTATTCGGAAGTCTTTTGTTCCAGAATCAAAAGAAGCCTTTCCTGCCTCCTACTTGAGATTTGATGCTTTAGAAACTGGTTGCTCAGAAACCAAACAAATCTTGTGTAGACTCTCTATTAAAACAAAAGCATAGCAATTTATGTAACCAAATCCCTGCTTTGGACTGTGACCTTACCAGGCCCTATTCATTAATTAGGCTACACTGAAGCTTTTACTCAGATCCAAACCTGACTCTGATGCAACTCACTCTGTAGGAGACAGCCTTGCTGATGGGACATATACCAAACAGTGTTTTAATCCCACCTTGAGCACAGGTGACCTTGACATTAAATACAGTGTGGCAGAAAGATGTGTCCTACCTCTCTCTGTCAGCTGTGAAGAAAAAAGCAAGTTTGGCTATCCAAGCTGAAGAATTTTAGCTCAGCTGGCAGAAGGGCTGCACCCCCTGTGACAGCAAGTCTTGAGCTCTGACCCTACAGAAAACCCATGTTCTTTGTGGTATCAAACATGAAACCAGCAAACATGAAGCAGTGCTCCTGGCATTTCTACCTGCCTTCCTAGCTGCCAAGCCTCTGCAACATAGTTCTTTATGGGTTAATGGGAAAACATAACTCTATTGGTTTGTGGCTCACTTTCCTGTTGCTACAGGATGTATCTGCCCATCATGCTACTCTCAAGCCCATACCTTCAGTGTAAGCCCAACCCTTGACATCCTCCTCAACTGGGTAGTGAGGGTCACCTCACTCTGCTGACCACTCCAGCTGGCTCCTTTCTGAGCAACCTTTGGGAACTGCCTGACCAGTCAGTCTGTCAGCAGCAAACCTTCAATTCCTCTTTCCTGTTTGCCTGCTTTCCTCAATCTGCCTTTAGGTAAAGATAAGTTAACTGCTGATTTACCTCAATAAATACATCAGATGGCTGGGTTTGGGGAAAATGATCAGGTAATAAATAAAAAGCTCAGGCCTGTTGAAGTCAAAGAGTGATACTACACATCAGGATCCACTTGTGGAGGGATCACCTCTGTGGAGAAAGACTATTGGAACCAGCACCTAGAGCTTAAAAAAATGGATTTACTACACAAGTCTAACCATTTTCCTTTTAAAACTCTCCCATATTGTTGTAATGACAAATCATCAGTGGTCAAAGGAATCTTTCTTATTTGTGCTCGTGAGATACTGATTCTGAAAATAAAAAAACCCAACCCAACCCCCAGGTATATTACAGCTATTACAGGTGATGTCACATGTTATGCTGGTGGCATTGCTTTTGTGCCTCTTCTACAATAAAAAGCACTGTTCTCACATAGGCCATCATCAAGCCCTGAATGTTCTCATGGATAAGAGAAGTGCTGGAGGACTGATGTGCTAAACTGCTGGGTGTTCACAGCACCAAATGACTGTACAGGCCATTCATTCATGAGTTGGACTCGATGATCCTTGTGGGTTCCTTCCAACTCATAATATTCTGTGATTCTGTGAAAATGATGTCAAAGAAAGATGAACACATTCTTCACCTTCAAAATTCCTGACTTTCTGCTGATGTCATTCAGATCTACCAAGCAGAACACGAAGGGACATAAGAGTACTTTAACAAGTGAAAACAAGGTGATACCACCTACATAAAAGAATCAAGCAAAGCAACAGAACATTAAATGGCTCTGACAGATAGATGTTCTTATTCCTTTATATAATTGCAGGGTTTGTTCCCTTTGTCCAATGTTAAATGCTTCACGGAATGGAACTGCCACCATTTCCTGACAGTAGCACAACCTAATAATTCTTATGATAAAGAAATGCTTCCTTCCATTAAGCCTGTTTCTTCTTTCCTCATTCATCTTCTACAGGTCAGAATTACTCTCATCTACATTCCCTGAAACCATCATTTTACTTCTACTCACCCTAGCAACCACGGATTAAGGTAGGTATTCTTTCAAGGCTTTTTCATTCCCATCCCAGCCCCCCTTCCCAAGGGGGAGCATTCTCTCTCCTCATACTGGTTTTCTCAGAATGTCTTTTCTGAAATTCAGGTGCTTCCAGCTGTTTGCAGTAACCTTGATGTGAACACATCAATATCAGAGGGAAACAAAGTTACATTAGCACTAGGCAATGCAATGCAAAAGATTTCATCCCAAACCAGGAACAAAACTGCAAATACTACACAAAACCACTACCACAGGCCTCCTGTGATTTGAGTATCTTTTGAAAATATATGCTTCTATTTCCCAACCAGTGGCACAAAATAAGATTTCAAAGATACTCCTTACTTAATGTGGACTACAGCAGAGACGTTGGGATAAACAGAGGGGAAAAAAAAAATGGCTCCTTCCCCAAGTGTCATCCATGTTAAAATTTTATGAGTCATTGCCACAGAAGAAAGACTATCACATTATAGAAAGAAGATCCATTTATTTTGCAAAATCACTTGCTTGGGATGGCTTCCAAAAACATCTTACTTGGCTGAACATGAGCAGTGTTGCCTCCAGAGATGTTAAATGGCAAAGCCCTATAGGCAAAGCCTACTAATAATATAAGCCTATCCAGGGTCCATTATAGTGAAAACTTTGCCATGAATAGGACTAAATATGAAAGACAAGAATTCCAGTATTCCCTACTTGTCTGGCTGCTTTCATAAAATATTTTTTCAAAATAGTAAAAAAAGAGTTTTGTTTTTCCCCTAGTCAGCATGGTTGCAACTGTGGCCAGTATTTCCTGAACTTTACATGAAAACTGAATTCAGATACTCTTAATCTGCTATTGGGAAAACAGGTAAATATAAGTCAAGAGATAAACAATACCAGTGCTAATAAAAATAGACTCTGATTTCTTTTCTTTTGTGTTTTGGGGCGAAAGCAATGTTCATATTCCCACTGCAGCAGTGTTTCTGGAGCAGTGATTCTCCAAGATGCTTCAGCAAGCACTGCCAAGGAATCTTGAAGGCAAAACGCAAACAGGGTAATAATACACAAATGATCTGAGTGAGAGGCCTAATTGTTAGGTCCATTAGACACTGGATTTTAAAAGTACCCATCTTAAGGTCAGAGATGGGTACTTTTGGAAAACTACTGTCACTAAAATAATTGTAGATGGTAGATACAATACAAGCTGTGCTGCTCCCTTCAACATATAAATTTTAAAATTAAAAACTGCATGAAATTTGGTGAAATTCACCCTGTGAGAGCACCAACAAAGTTGTATTTGTAATAACAACTGATCAAGGATACAATTTGTGTCTCTTGTGCTGATGTGTTCCACGCTGGCTGACTTTGGGAAGTCTAGCAGGGAAGCCTAGACTTAAAGCAGGAATCCTTAGAGACAGACCTGAGAAACCACCCATTTGTCCAGATCTGCAAAAGATTCCTCTTATCCCTCACAGAGGCTGGCAAAACTCCAGGCAGGGAATCCTATGTAGGTGATGAGCCTTGTCCATGCTGCCCAGAACAAATGTGCTGAGGGAGACACTGAAGTCTGGGCTCTTGGCAGTACAGTTCTGCAGAGACAATGTTATTCTTAAGGTCCCTGAAGCTGACAGCAAGACAGATGCCAACCTGTTTCTAAAAGTGGCTCTGAGAAATCACAGGCTGTGTGATTGCGACACTCAGGGATTGAATGAAGCACGGCCTTTTAACTGAAAGCCAAGCTCACCTTGCTTGGTATGCTCTGAAAACTCATCTTGAAAAATATGGCATCTCTCACCCATTAAAAAAAAACCCAACCAAACATCTGTTACCTTCCATCTCAAAAGTCTTCTATTAAAATCAGTTTAAGAAGTCACTATTGCAAGCAGTCAGCAATGGTGAAAAACATGCTGCAAAGGACTAAGGACAAGGTTAAAGTTGACACAAAACTCTGCTGGTATAAGTTCTGCTTTTTAATAAAACCGAAGTTAAAGTAGAAGGAGCTGCTTTACTACATCCCATCCACTCAACTCCCATACTACAGCAATTAGAAATGGCAAGATGAGGAGGAAGGAAAGAAGGTGCCACACAAAACACTGAATTGCTTGTGTTTTCCTCCAAGGATTAGCTCTATATGGGCATCGTGTAAACGCATGAAAGGACATGAGAGGAGAAAGATCTCCCCACTAAGCAGAGAACAATATGAAAAGCCATCAGCAGGTCTTAAAGGCAAGGAGATTCAGCTCCCCAATGTATCCATTCCAAGTAGAGACAAACACACGCTTCAGATTTTTTTGCTTTTGTTTTAAACAGGACTCATGTTGGCAGTATTTTAAGTAATCGGCTAATGAGACCTGAAGCCCAACAGATCTCCTACACAAGTACCTATGGCATCAATGTTAATATTTAACAAGGTCAGCATTATTATTACAGCAATTACAAAGAGAAACAACAGTGCTAAACGTGCTATTTCAAAGTGTTACACTGATCATTTACCATGTTCTCCTTAACTTCAAAGGTCTGACTTCCACCACAGCACCATGGAACAAAGTGCAGGTCCATTGCTTCACATGTTTTTATCCCCAGTTTGGAGTGCTGGGTGCAGCTCACAGAGGGAACAGACCCTAGACCATCTGTTGAGGCACAGAACGGATTTAGCAAGACAAGCGTGGGAGCTGAGCAAGTAAAATCTCAGTCATTCTAGCAATTACCCTACTTACTTTGCACTTCCCATGATCAGCTGGCTGGTCTGTTCCCTAGAACAACCAGGGATTGTGGGGTTTCTTGCTGGCAGTTGCAGTTTTTCCCCTGCAGCTCAAGCAAATTCATTCTCTATGGTACATCCCCCTGCTCTGTAGCCAGCCACACGTGCCAGGAATTCTGCTGGGGGCTTCCCTGGAACTTTCCTTCCAGCCTTATATTTTTTTCTGAGAGAGATCTAGTTAGCTTGAGCTTTCACCTGGCCCAACAGAGCTTAGCTGAATTCATCCAGCCCACATTTAGGGAAAAATACAGCAGTGTGCAGCCTCAGCAAGGAGTCATCCGTTGAGTATTCTCATTTCATGCTTTAAGAGATGTTAACACCTGTGTCACTTCTCCATTCCATACACAAGATAGCTCTGCACACCCTTAACAGCAGAAAGCTCTCAGCAAAAGCTCCCCACACTGATTAGACAGCAGGTTCACTGAATACAAATAAAGCACAGTCACTTGTGCAAACCCAAGATGGTAAGCACAGGATGCTATTAAATTCTGGACACATCTTCAGGTACATTTTTCTCTGGATATGAGATTCAAAACACAAGTGTTGCAAATGGAACTCTCCTTCCTTTATCTGCTCTAAGTGTATCTCAGTTAAGGTTATGAGAAAAGTATATTAAAATTGAAAAACAAGTCACTGGTTTCTTCAGTATCAGAAATAGTGAATAATGTTTGAAAGATTAATTCGCAACTGCAGTTTTACTCAGTGATATTCAGCTGTGTACTATTCAATTCCTCTATCAGAATCACAGGCTATAAAAATCCCTGTATTTAGAAGTAATTTCTGAGGGCCAAAATGGAAAGGGCATTTTTCAGTTTGGCAGATTTAGTACTTTTTGGTATTTTATTATCATTGTTATTAGCTTTTACAGAACAGAAATAAAATCTTTTATGTATGTGCATATACATATATAAAAAGTCCACTATCCATAAGAACACAAAGATTCTCAAACAGATGTTTACTTTTTCTATGCTTCTTTTTCTTCCACTAGCATCAAGTATGATTTTAACCTTATGGCTAATATAATAATTTAAGAGATATATTTAAATAGGTTTCAAGTCAGGTAGACTCAAAGACCAAAGGAATCATTATGGTAATTTCAGCTTCTAATGTGATACCAACCACAGGACATTCTAAAACATTTCCTGCACTGAACCCAAACCTCACTTCCCATCTCAACTTCAAGCAGTGAGAAATCCATAACTGATAAACCCAGATATTGCCATTCAGCAGGCTAGGGAGATAACTTCATTCATCCAAACATTTTAATTTTTATTGGTGAAGCTCTGGTTGTAGTAATTCACAAAAGATAATGACTGCAACTCAACTTCCACTTTCCAGTAAATAAAATCTAGTACTATATATTACAAGTTCTCTTCTGCCCTGCTGACGGGAGAGTGGTTAAGTACGATAACTCATCAAAAAAATCAGGGTGATCTACTTTGTTGGGCACAGGACCCATCAGCTTTTTTGCTGGCTACTTGCCACCATAACACTGTTTCCAACATGTAACTTTGGCTTTCAGGAAGGCTGCAAGAGGAAAAAAGCTTGCATCTCGCTTTTTACAGCTGGAAATCCTCAATCCAGTCTTACCTCTCTACTCCTGACAGTAGGGATGGGATGTAGACAAGGCCAATTAGTCTGAAATCTGGACACCAAAGTAATGAGAAGAACTCCATACCTTCATAAACAATTTACACTTCACTAATTGCTAATTAACTAGGCAAAGCCACAGGCAAACAAACACTTGAACTTCAAGTCTTTATACTCAGAACAGCATTTACTGAAAAGGTGTATCAAGGTTATTCCTTGAAATCTACCCAGAGCTACCTGAAACAACTAGCAAAAGCTCACTCTTAAAACTCCTAGAGGGAATTTCAAGAGAAAAACAAAAATATAAACCAGAATGTCACATGGGTCTAAAATAACCCATAAGTGCCTTTGAAATGCTTGGCAGAACTCATCTATTGAAAAGTAATGTAGAGGAGTTATGGGGTTCTGATGTTCACAAGTGTGTGGGCAGAAGGGGGATCCTAGTCTATTCCATTTCTTTGAACAGGTAATGAAGGCTGAAGACATGTGAAACTTTGTACCTGCACAAATAAAGCTGTTTAGACAATGACTCAAGTTCCTAATTGTTTCTCATTATAATTTTCCTAGTAGTAGCACTGTTTCATATAAACAGTTCTACTATCTTAACTAAGGAATTAATATGTTTTGACACTTGTTAGTGAAAGATTTTCTCTGTACCATTTAACATGA